TGGCTCCGACGTCCTGGGCGAGAGAATCTGGGGCGCCGGGGTCAAGTAAGCTCCGGCCTGGGTGAGAATAACCGAAGGAATTAAGGGCTGGCTGCGTACGCCACGCTAAACGTCTTTTAGTCCTTGCACCCCTTCTTCGGGGGCACTGTCCGTTGACGGCCAGGCTCAGGAGGCCGCCGGATTCCTGGGCTTCGGGGCTCAGCCAGGCCGAAAAACAGACCCCTCCGCCCAGCCCCTATCCGAGGCAGCCCAGCACCTTCGCGGCCTGCGCCCCGGTCTCGCCTGCGCCTTAAACCTCGGGACTCCCTACCACGTCCGCCTTCTCGGGCAATTGTGATACCGCGGGGCTGCAGGGCGCCCTCGGCCGGCCCATCCCCGGCGTGGCCCCGACTCCTCCTCACTCCATTTCTTCTCCCCGGATTAAAGTTCAAGTTCCAGCGCCTCCGCCCAGAGATACCCAGGCGGACCGCCCCTCCCTACTGTGTCCTGGAGACCCTCCCTGGGAGGGAAGCCTCCACCTGCGGGGAAGCCAAACCTCACCCTGCTGCAAGGTCCCGCCTCCTCAAAGAACGCTGTCCCTCCGAGACCCTCCTCCTCAGGGAGACCCGCCCCTTTCCGGAGGACCTTTCCTCAATGTGACACGGCCACCGTCAGCGTGTACAGAACCCCCCGGGGCTGCAGCCCTGGGCTGTGTGTTCCTCCCACGCCGTGAGTTCCTCCTTTCCCGGCGACTTGGCTATTGTGACCCCTCCTCTCAAGGTGACTCCTCCCCTCAGTGTGGCCCGGCCCTTGTCAGTGTGACTCCCTGTCCGCAGGTTCAGCCTCCATCACGTAGGAGCCAGCGCTGCCCCCGCAGGCCGGAGGAGGCGCTGCAGCCGGCCTCTGTCAGTCGGCGCGGGCCCGGAGTGCGCGCGCGCAGTCTAGAGATAGGGCGCTCGCCGTACAGGCGCTTCCGGTTCTGCCGCCGGCGCTTCCTGCCGGCCTCGGGCGAAGTAACCAATCAGCGCCAGGGTTTGGTGGCGACCGGGGATCCCAGCGGCAGGCTCTGAGCCAGCGGGTTCGGGCGCCGATGAGCCTCCTGCCATCTAGCGGTGGAATGGAGGGTGGCGGGAGTGCGGGCTGCGGGCCTGGGCTGCGAAAACGGGCGGAGAGACAGAGGTGGAGGGAGCAAGGCCGAAATCTCTTCAAGAATTTTGAAGTACTGCATTTCTGTTTCTATGGTGAGCTCAGCAGAAAGTCAGAAGCACAGTCGGCCTTGCGTGGGTGACTGCCGTCTAACGGAGGCCTGTCTCGGAGTCAAGAAGTGTTACTTGCCTTGCTAATGTTTTTTTCAGCTCTCACTTTAAAAATGATGCGTTAGGATCCAGAGAAGGCCGGGTGCCTTCGTGCACCGTTCAAGGAAGGTAGCACACATGCTCAGAGTGGGAAGAATGGGAGGTATCACAGTCCTAGAGCCAGCAGAGACGGGCCAGTCTCAATAACAACCTCTGCCTGAGGCATGAATATTCTATTCACTTTTCCAAAGGCATTTAGTTCCAGCAAAACATTCAGCTTATTCATCACATGAAATTAACATCTACAGCTATTTGTGAATGTGCTTTCTATAAGTCTATATGAGCAAACACTAGGGATTTATACCTTCTGTTTAAACATAATTATAGATCGCTTAACAAATCTATGTTTGAGAACTACTATAGTTAGCGATTGTAATTTCAAGCTAAAGAACCAGGTGCCTGTTTTAGAAAGATAGTTGTGATAGAATGGAAGCTGAGTGACTGGGAAGGAGGCTGTGGTAATGATTAAGTCAGGAGATGACAGAATGAAATATGACAGGGATAAAGAAAGAGAAGGGGGACCAGCAGTTAGCGTAATGACTATGTCGCTGGACTCCCATGTAGTGGACTGCGGTTCGCGCCCCGGACCCGGTGGCTTAAAACTCAGGCCAGGCGTGTGTGCCTGCGTGCCCAAGATCCCGAGAGGAGACCGGAGAAGGGATGGCTGCGTGGCCATCCCCCCTGGGGGGTGATTTCTCGCTTTCTGTCTCTCTCCGTCTCTCTGTCTGGCAAGCGCATGGTCTCTCGTTGTGGCAAGCGCATGCACGCTATAGCAAAAAAAAAAAAAAAAATTACAAAAAAGGAAAGAGAAGGAAATATTCAACTAGCATGGGAGGTGAAACAGGAAATCTTGCCAATCGATGGTCTCCAAAGTCAGTCAGCCCTGTGGAGAGAAGACACAGCAGCCACCATAATTTTCTAGCATAGATTATTGGGCGACATTAACTGAGATTTAAAAAAAAAATCCAGGAAGAGGACAGATTGGGGTAAATAGAGGTAGATGATTGTCGTAAGGAAAGGGGTGATGGTGAAAGCATGAGGGCAGCTGCCACCATCCAGGTAGGTTGTACAAGGCAGAAATAGACCAACAATGGAGACCTGAGGAATGCCAACATTAAAGGGGTGATACAGGGAGGGAAGTCTGTGAAAGAGACAGAAAAGAAACAAGCTGAAAGGTAGGAAGAAAATCTAGAGAGCCTGGTGCCACAGAATCCAAGAAGTGAAGAGGAAAAGTGGAATAATCAACAGCATTCCAAAGCACAGAGGGATCTGCTAAGATAATTTATATGTACCCTGAGTTAGACTATTAGAAGACCTCCCTGTGTTTTTATTTTTTAAATTAATTAATTTTTTGAGAGTTTTTTGCTATAGGGTGCGTGTGCTTGCCAGAAAGACAAGAGAGACAGAAAACGAGAAATCACCCCCAGGGGGGATGGCCGTGCTGCAATCCCTTCTCCTCCATTCTCCTCTCCGGATCTTGGGCATGCACATGTAGTAAGCCATCGGGTCTGGGACTCCAACCGCAGTCGAGTATATGGGAGTCCAGCGACATAGCCATTAAGCCAACTGCTGATCCCAGCAGTTGCCATTTTTGATTGTCCTATTTTGGCTAGTAGGAACTTACACAAGTTGATTCCGAAGTCCTTTTGACATGACCATCTAGCATTCTTGCTATCTGAGATGATAAAATGCTCCAGGCTAATTTTGTATATATCTAGACCAGAGTTGGCGTAGTCTCTTTCTCTTTCTCTCTCTCTCTTTTTAAATAAATGTGTCAGTTCATTTAATGTTGTAACTGAAACCAGCAATTATTTGCATGTATAATCATCAACTCTGAATATAATATGAATTATTCCTAGGAATTGGAATTTACCTAGATGAATTCTGGCTGCTTAAAAAAAAAAAAAAAGAAAAGAAAGAAAATGTAGGGGTCGGCAGGTAGTGTGGTGGTTAAGGCACTATACCCCACATGGCTGACCACAGTTCGAGTCCCAGGACCTGGCAGCTTGCTTTCTGTCTTTTTGTCTCTGTCTCTCATCAAATTGAAGAAAAATAAAAAATAAATAAAATTAAATAATTTAAAAAAAGAAACGTACAGTTAGACCATAGAACACTGTGGCTTCTGTGATTTGTGATAATTTTGAAAAGGAAAATCTTGCCTCCTTAATATAAGGAAATAAGACTACTCTTTCCAGGGATCAGCAGTTGGTGTAATGGCTATGTCGCTGGACTCTCACGTAGTCAACTGTGGTTTGAGTCCCAGACCCGGTGGCTGGCACACCAGGCGCGTGTGCGTGTGTGCCCAAGATCCCAAGAGGAGAATGGAGGAGAAGGGACTGTAGTGTGGCCATCTCCCATGGGGGGTGATTTCTCGCTTTCTATCTCTCTGTCTCTCTGGAGCACATGCACCCTATAGCAAAAAAAAAACAACAAAAAAAACTCTGAAAAAAAAAAAGACTACTCTTTCCACAGTTATCATCCAGTGTAAAACTTCACAGTCTGGGAAACCAGCAGTTAGCATAATGGCTATGTCACTGGACTCCCAGGTAGTCGACCGCAGTTGGCGTCCCGGACCCGGTGGCTTAAAACTCACGCCGGGTGCGTGTGCGTGTGTGCCCAAGATCCCAAGAGGAGAATGGAGGAGAAGGGATTGTGGCGTGACCATCCCCCCTGGGGGGTGATTTCTCGCTTTCTGTCTCTCTGTCTCTGTCTGGCGAGCACATGCACCCTATAGCGAAAACCTCTCCAAAAAAACAAAAAACAAAACAAAACAAAAAATCTTCACAGTCTGATTGACCTTTATCAAAGGTAAAATGGTTCGCTGCTACATTTCCATGAATTGTTTTGATCCTCAGTAGCTCCTAAACATAAAATAAATTTCACAAGAACTTTTACCTGCTATTTGGCTTTTCCAAAGCAAGATGTTAATATAAAATGTATTAAACTGGTAGAAGTAGAAGTCTATGGGATAAAGAAAAAGGCCTTGAATATAAAACATTTAGCAACTTTATACTTTCTAATTTTACAATATCTTCACATATTGTGACCTGAATGGTTTCATGTATCTATCCATCATGAACAGAACTCAATCTTCTATTTTAAGAATCTTCACTGCCCTTTTTTGTTTGCGGCTTCATTCTGCAGTGTATAAGATTTCATCCAACTTCAATAATTTGTTCTTCCCCAAATTTCATTTCATTAGCATAATGAATTTTATCATCTTTAGCAAGTTGAATATATACTAGCTTTTGAGAACTGGATAGATTTTTCCAGTTTTCATTTACAGTCTTTAGCTTTGCCTGTG